GTGCGCACCAGATGCGGCACAGAGGCCTTCCTAGTTGATGCGTAATCCATCTGGCGTCGGATCGTACCCGGAACGGACTGGTGAACGAACAGGGGTTGAAGCCGCGCGAGAAAAGGCACGCGCTGAGAGACGAAGATGCTTGGTGGGTGTGGTGAACGGCGGAGTCGGTGGCACCACAATAGTCGGGGCGTCTGCATTCGGATGCTCGACCTACTGCTTTTGACGTCAAGTATCTATATCTTTCAAATTATCCACGAAGACTAGGCTGTAACCGAGGAGACGTTGTTAAAACAACATTGTATGATCAGTCTAGATTGAGTACACCTCTGATGGTCGATGAGTGAGTGGTATGACGTTTGCCAGCGTGTCATACTGGAATCATCCTCCATTACTATTCCATCTCTCTTCCTTAGCCCTTCCTAACAGTCTTTGAGTTAGATCCGATTACTTTCTGCGATGAGATTCTGTAAGAGTACGAATGCTTGTTTACATTAGTCATGCCAATTACATCTCGGGGTTGAACAATAAGGCAAATTAGACAATGCTGCGAAGACAATCACAGACACCCATGATCTCCTCCCAGTGGCGCTTCACTTTTCAACTAGACATGGACCATTCGCATACTAAGAGTTGGTTTGGTGACAACTACTAGCTCTTGGTACAGCTCCTCAGCTCTACGTACTACTAAGACCATCCGCTTAGACATGCAGATTGATCTCCTCGTCACACGGACTAGTGTGTGATGGCGGGCAGCCAATGTGCGTGTTCTGCAGCCTCATTGGCGATAGATCCCGGGCTTCGTGCCTGTGCTGGCGCTTTCAAACCCGCAAGCATTGGCCAGATGCATCAGCAGGAAACTTTTGCATGTCTTGATCCTCAACTTTTCTGGCTTTATCGTCGTTGCGGTTGGTGCCCCTCTTCAGGTCTGCTATCTGCTTACAGGGCACCATGGACGACTAAGGGTGCGCCGTAGGCCATATTTGACCCCTTGTCTGGTGGTGCTTCTGTTCTGTTCATATCTAAAGCGTGTTTCCGGCTGGCCTACGGAGTCATTTTCTGTGATTGTTGCTTGCTTGACTTATTCCTCTGGTTGAGTGGTTTGGGTTCCTTCAATGCGAGTGAACTGAACGCCCAGCCAGCCGGTCTGGCCGCCAGTGGATAGTTTATTTTCGACTACACAATTGATAAAGACGAGGTCTAGCTCTTTCATACTTGACTTTTCAGATTGGCCGTTTCGTGAGTTATCTGAAGATTTCGGTTTCGGTCGCCATGTATTTCCCACGGAATCATCGCCATCGCAAAGTACTTTTGTACTTGATGGCTGCCGAGCTTCCGTTTACCATTGTTATCCTTACATTCACTGGAATCGCTTCTCATAATCTATACCGTACGAAACTGTGGCAGGATGGCGCAGACAACGGATTCAACAGTTCCCCCGATGAGCAGTTGTATGCGGCTGCCAACTATCGGCCTTACAAGGTTCCTACAGTCTGGAGCGGATTGTACGTTTTCTTTTCTCTTGCCTTTCGCTCTGGTTCTTTCTCTTCTCCAACGCCCTTGTTGGCTTGATCCTGAAATTGGAGAAGAATGTCGCTGACGCTGGCTGGGGCTACAGCATCACCAATTACAACCTAGTACTTGGTGTTTTAAGCACATTTTTCCTCATCACCAAAGTCCCCCTACACTTCCTTCGACTGTTCTATCCGCCCTTGTCGGTTATTGTCCACGGGGGTCTTGTTGCAGTATACATCGTTTCAGCTCGGTACCAGGCAGGCAGTGATATGTCGGATCCCGCGCACCCGCAGCCGGGTGCGCCGTGGTACATTACGAAGAAGTGCACCGTTGCTGCGAACAAGGACAATATCAATTACTGTCGTCAGGCGAAGGCCCTGTTTGCGTTCACAATAATAATCATGTGAGTACCATGTTCCTGCGAGTCGACCCTCAAGGCTGTGATTGACGGAAGAAACAGCGTCCTCTATTTTGTCGAGTTTGTTCTGAGTGTCCACTCCCTCGTCCTGACTCCGGAGGAGCGCGCAGAACGATTAGAGAAGGCCGAAGAGAAGAGAACCTGGAAGGAATATGAAGAAGCCATTCTCAAGTCTCCCGCGGTGATTACGATGAGCCCAGCTTATCCACAAGAAGGCATGCCTGCTATGACACCCCGTAGCCTTGCCTTCAACCGATTAGGAGGAGACAATTCATCCGACCTACCTCTTCGTGAATATCTCGGTGGTTCGAATCCCCGCCACTCGATACAGCAGGATTCGTCGGCGGAGACCCTCGCATCAGGGCAACATGCCCAGGCTGGAGCAACGACCCAGCCTCAGCCTCAGATGTATTTCCCTCCGCCTCCCAAGAAGGCCGCCAAGACGTGAGGGCGCATTTTCGATCGTGTTGAAGTGTGTATGGGATGTGTGCGGCCGTTATTAAGCGTGAAACATGACCAGATTTGTTGATTGCTGCTCTATTCCCCTATGTCTGTTCATCCTTTCGATCAAAGTTCTGTTGATTCAGCTGGTTGTGAGCCATCGATGTGCCATCGAGAAAGCGTCGCCCTCGTCTCTTAGATGATAGGAAGGATTTCGACTGGTATCGATGCTGTAGTTTAGTTGATCGTAGTCATTCAACGTAAACTGAGATATGATCCGTGAGCACGAGAGACTCATACTATGTCCAGCCACATAGGGGATTTGGGCTGATCTATGCCTCGAAGCCAACGAGAGGGCGCTCAGGTTCGCCGCATATGCTAATCGGTCAAGGAAACGAAAGGGTATCTTTTCGCAGAAAGGAGTATAAAAACTCGATGATACGCGCCGATATTGCCCAGGGTTGATAATCAATTTGATTCCTGACGTTTCTTCTCTTTCTTAGCCCAACGTACTATTGAAGCCAGCAGTCAGTTTCAGTCGAGTAACAACCGGAGCAGCTTTAGCGAAGCAACTTACATCCGCAGGCATTACACAAGGTCTTTGGTCCGTCCGGTCCCTTTCTCCACTCGGGGGAATCAGAGGTCCCGCAGTCGGTACACAGATACTCTCCCTTCAATCTCTTCCTTCGGTCGATCTCCTGTGCGCTTCGAGCTTGCTGCTCGATCGTGGCTATATCAATATTGCAATGGACGAGACAGCCTTGGCGCATGCCTGTGCTGAGGCCATGAGACCGCTCGCCCTCACGGTAGCGCAGCCCTGTCATCATCTCAATTCCGTCGATGTGGGCCAGATCTTGCGCCTGTTGCGTAGTGCTTTCAAGAAGCGACCCTGGTTCTCCATCATCGGTGTTGACCGTATCGGACGACTCATTCTCCTCACCTGAACCGGTCGCATCGTAAGATGTGAACGGAGGCAAGTTCTGACGCAGGGCAGATGATCCCGAGTATTGCTTGAGGTATGCCTGTCGACCTGAATTTAAATATTCCTCCTCTTCCGCTCTGAGTTGTGAGATGCGCTGATTTAACCGGATATTCTCGATCTTGTGTTCGAGAAAGGAATCGAGTAGCGCCGAACTCCTGGTGGGATACGGCCGGCAGACCAGGAAAACACCGTTGCAGGTATTATTCTCGTCTTTGACATGTGGATGACCGTGCGCTTCTATGACGCCAAAGGTATTATTCGACTTGTAGAAGCGGAAATGGCACCGCAGCGGACGGGCCGTGGCGATGCACTCTTCGAGTTGACGGGTGAAGACGGACTTGTCGTCATCGTGAATGAACCGGGATAGGGCATCACGTTCGATCTGCTTCGACTCGTATCCGGTAATCCACTTGCAGGACGGCGAAGCGTAGAGAACCGTGCCATCGGGACGAAGGAGGAGGAGCATGTCTGTCATTTCGGCGAGGGTACGCTGCACCCAAACCTGTTCTGTAGTCGCATCGAGAGACGGCTGCGGTTCGGCATCTTGGGGGACGGCATTCGAAAAATCGTTGCTGCTTTCACTGCTAGAAATTGACCCTTGAAGTGCTTGCACATCCATCGAACCTCGAGTGTCTCTCTCGTTCTGCAATGCGTATGTCTTTTTTGATCTCACCGTGTCCGCCTCCGGAGGAGCGAACTCCATGGTCGCGCGGAACCAGGAATGGCGAAATAATTGTCACTATAAACGATTCAATACATTGAGCGAGAGTCCTGATGATACAGGTGCCGATAATGTAAAGAGACTGGCGAAATATTATCGTTCAAGATGGAAAAGATATGCACAGAAAAAAAGACGAAAGAATTCCATATGGAATGTGAGGACCTGTGAGATCAACGCCGAAAATGACCGCTGTTGACGCTGTATACGGCCGCATTTAACCCGTAACTCCCTGCGGCCCTGCTCTCGCTTGCACAGAAAACTTTTACAATCTGAGCGAACGAGTTCTCGAACTCTCTGAAAATTGTGCGCAATGTACATCCAGGTGTCCTCTCATTTCATAGGCATCCTTGGGGGAGGAGGCGAAACAGATGACTGGCAAGACTCTCGATATGCGAGATAAAGACAGAAGCTGCGCTTGGTCGGCTGTAATAGTTAACTAGAGAAACAGACAAGATGAAGCACAGCGAAGTTACAGGAGCCATGACTTCTTGAAACTTAGTTTGCTTTGATATTAGTTAACTCTAAGTGGGCCACGGCAGGATTACCTGGACGGGATTTCTGTAGTAGTTTGTGTGGACGTCCAGACAATACACTGTTCTATCTTCCCTTCTTTGATCATGATGAAATATTGCCCATTGAGTTAAAATATTTCGTGTGTTGTAGAAGCCGAAGAAGTCCAGATCCCCATTTCTTCTGGCGACAAAGGAAGTCAATCGTCGGTCGACACTGAGAACGACAGCTGTGGGAATGGTATCCCTCAAGTTTGCAAACCATCATCTTACGTCCTGATGGAGCATGATCAACGACTCTGAAAATGCCTACCAGTTTGAAAGGAGGCAACGGGACAATGAATTCTCGCTTGATAAACTCCACGCCTTGACGCAGCTTCAGCCCCATGTGCCAGTTTTAGAGGAGTGTCAGACGCTATGAGATTCGTCGATGTCCGCTGCACTGGTCGGAAGCCCTGTAATGCTTTGACATTTGGCAGCGAATTACTCCGTGATATCGTGATGACGTCTGGCGATCTGCTCCATCAGATGAGGAATGAGAGGTGTGTCGTCAAGCAGGTCCAAGATCAGAGCATGCCCACCGCCGTCTAGAAGACTGACATACCATTAACACGAAGGAAAACAACACATGCGCAACTTCAAGTTGCACGGCAGCAGGCACAATGCTTCCAGAGGACCGGTTTCATCGCGTCCAACTCGCAGTTGATACTGAAGGGTTCAACTGAAGCCGGGTCGTATTGGTTGGTTCACCATCCGATGCGGTTCGGTGAACATGACATCCATAAAGCCATTGAGCTTGAGCTGTGTGACAAAAAATATTCCAAGCTGGCTTTGGAAAGTGTTCTCATCGTGGCGGCGAGGCGAGGCGTCGAGTTGCTGATGGGCTGCAACTAGCGGAATGGAACGCGGTTCAAACCAGGCAAGCATGGGCCAGTGTTCAGGTTCAGTCAGGCGTGCAGCCTCATCCACAGCAATCATATTGAAGGGGCTGCTGCCTTTCGCCTTGCGCCGACTTGCATTGAGTTATCAAAAAGGAGCGGCGTGTTCCCGGTTACCCTCATGGTATGGGACACTGAAAAGCCACTGATTCCCCCATACTGAGTGTGCATTGCCTGTCGCTGTATAATACAGCCGATGACTGGATTGAAAACCCAGTTCGAAATGCAGTTCCAGGCTCCATTCACAGCTCCTCAACACTGCGCGGGTTCAGGCGACGTGTCTCGACAACTATGCCTGATCCATTATCGATCAGTCAAAAGAATAGACATCTCTATCAGAGTCCAATATGTACAATACTTTCTACCCTCGCAGGATTTGATCGATAACAGTCATGTCATTGAGTTGGTTGGGTTTTGGGGGTCAGCCAAGGGAATAGACTGCTACTGAGGCTATTCACAGCTGCAGTTCCACACATCCTTGCCACCTATATAACCACACCAATGTTCCACTCACGAGCATTAACTAGTAGTCACCACTCTAAGGTGACGTTGTACCTCCTCAGCAAGCACCCCTGTTTATTTCAACCAACAAGTGGAGCAATGCAAAATATAGCTTACTCTCTTCTCAATCAGCACATGTCAGGCGCTGTACAAAATGCTAGTCATCCGTAACCCCAAAGCAAACAAATCCCATTCATCTTGAGCACGCTATTTTGTGGAGAATAATAAAGATAAAGTTGCAACATACAGTCTCAAGCTCATAAATCCATTTGTATATATCACGTGACTTCGCGCTTCCTTTCCGCGTCTCTGACGCGCAGGCAGAAGCGGCGATATTGATAACGAGCTTCAATTAGGCTTGGGATGCACCGACAGTGTTGGGGCGGATAGTGGCTTGACATCCTTTAAAGACCTTTAGAGTCTTGTGGGCAGCACTGTAGTGCTTGATTTCAAAATGTGAGTCCTGCGCGCTTCAGAACAAAATAACATCGAAAACTGATAAGATTGGCAGGTGTAAGTGATGCGGAGCTCGATGACGAAGCACAAGCCTGACGCTTTGCTCCAACTATAGCGAAGATAGACAAGCTATCAATCCTTGGGTCCGTCCATTCCTACAGAAGCATACGCTCAAGGTTTTGATTTGTATACTGATTCGTGATTCTTTCTCAGTGTTCGATCATTTGACAACACCCGCAGTGAGACCATCCAATTTCACACACCTCTTACATTGATCGTCGGTTATAATGGCTCAGGGAAGACGGTAGGGGCTTCAATAAGCGGACGGCTTATGAACATAATTCATGCTGAGTGGGAATACAGACAATCATTGAATGCCTCAAATATGCTACGACCGGCGATCTTCCACCAAACAGTAAGGGCGGTGCATTCATCCATGACCCCAAGGTAAGCTTGGAGCTCTCTCCTATTATAGAAATATTACTGAATTATTGCGCAGCTTTGCGGAGAGAAAGAAGTCCTAGCCCAAGTGAAATTATCCTTTAAGAGTACATCTGGAGCGAAGATGGTTGCTACACGGAGTCTACAACTTACAGTGAAGAAAACGACTAGACAACAAAAAACACTCGAGGGACAGCTTCTCATGGTCAAGGATGGCGAAAGAACAGCTATCTCATCACGAGTAGCGGAGCTGGACCAAATCATGCCTCAGTATCTTGGCGTTTCGAGAGCTGTCTTAGATTCCGTCATTTTCTGCCACCAAGATGAGAGTCTCTGGCCTATGAGCGAACCCTCGGTGCTCAAGAAGAAATTTGATGAGATTTTCGAAGCTATGAAATATACGAAAGCCATCGACAATATCAAGGCCCTCCGGAAGAAGCAGAATGAGGAGCTAGCAAAATACAAAATCATGGAACAGCATGCCAAAGAAGACAAAGAAAAAGCTGATCGTGCAGAGAAAAGATCCATCAAGCTACAGGACGAGATTGAAGCGCTCCGCGCTGAAACCCATCAGCTCTCCCAAGAGATGCGCCGTGTTGCGGAACTCGCCGACAAAGCTTGGAAAGAGTCTGAGAGCTATGCTCAGGTTTTAGGGACTTTGGAAGGAAAGCGTATCGAGGCAAAGAGTTTGCAATCGACAATTGACAATCTCAAAAGGCACCTGGTTGAGCTTGATGATCCGGATGAGTGGCTGCAATCAAATCTAGAGCAGTTTGAGTCTAGACAACTTCAATACCAACAACAAGAGGAAGCTCACAAGGAGAATTACATGGAGATCAAGGATCAGATTGAGCAAGCCCGTCAGAAGTTGGGAGCCAAACAAGCCGAATACGGAAAATACGAGAATGACAAAGCCAATTTCGAGCGCCAGGTAGAAAGGAGACAGAGGATGACAAGGGAGATTGCTCGCAGTCATAACATCCGAGGCTTTGATAATATCCAGGATCAATCAGATATTGACGACTTCATGCGGAAGATTAGAAAGCTGTTGAAGGAGCAAAACCAAGCGCTGGAGCGCGTTAAGCGTGAGGCGCAGACAGAGCTACGCGAAGTACAGTCTACTCTAAATGAGGTCGGGCAGCGAAAGTCTGCATTGCAGGAAAGTAAGAATGCGGCCAAGCGTCAAATTGCTGCAAATGACAAGGAGGCCTCCAATTATCAAGCGAAGCTCTACGAAATTGACGTTGACGAGGGCGTCCAAGCTGCACTTGAAGCAAACATTGAGGACATTTCATCTCGACTGAACGACGCCAAAGATCGTGCTCGATCGGCCTCACTGGACCAAGAGATTCAGGAGGTGAACTCAGAACTCCACACCCTCGAGGATGAAGGCACACGCCTCAATGCTGAATTGATCGAGGCCACAAAACGAGCCGGGGATTTTGCCCGGTTAGATCATCTCAAGAAGGAACTCAAAGAACGAGAACGCAGCTTGGAAACTATGAAAGCTGCACATGGCGAACGCCTTGCAAAGTACATTGGTGCAAACTGGGGTCCAGCCACTGTAGAGCAAGAGTTTCAGCGTGTCCTTGAAGAGGAGTCCAGAAACGTCTCTAGTGCTGAAAGCCAACGTGACGGCGTCAGCAGGGAGTTGGAGCAGGTCGAATTCAAGCTCAATACTGCCAAGAAGACACTGGCTCAGCGACAGAAAGAGCTCAATAGCTGCGCCAAAGAAATTCGTGAAGCCATCAACGAGGAACCCGAAGAGTATCCCGATGCACTCAAACAACGACAAGCGCAACTCGACGTCGCTAGAAGGGACGCCGAGCAGAGCGCCGGACTCGGCGACTACTTTATGCGTTGTCTGGAGACAGCCAAGCAGGTAAAAGCCTGTAGACTGTGCCAACGAGCGTTCAGGGCCGACGCAGAATTCACCGTATTCCAGAAACGACTAGAGGGATTGGTGAAAAAAGCGCAGATCGGTGTGGAGGAAGAAGATGTTGAAAGATTTGAAGCCGAACTCGACGCGGCCCGCGCAGTAAGTACAGCTTACGATACGTGGACTCGCCTCTCCAAAACCGAGATTCCGGATCTAGAGAAAGAAGAAGACGAGTATGTTCGTCAGCGGGATGAGCTCCTGGACCAATTAGAGAATCATGACAAGATCGTCAGCGAGAAGGTTGAAAAGAAGAGAGACGTTGAGGCTTTATCGAAAACGGTCAATACGATCGTGCGATACGAGAGCGAAATCAAGACCATCCGGTCCCAGATACAGGATCTGTCCGCCAATCAACAGGACAATACTGCTACACGTACTCTGGAAGATATCCAAGAGGAGATTGCCGGCATTGGCGAGAAGTCTAGAGCTCTGAAAAAGACCCTGTCCAAGCTCACAAATGACAGAGAGCAGGCACGGACTGAGATGAATACCTTGGAGTTGCAGCTCCGAGATGCTAAAAGCAGGCTTGACAATGCGAAGTTCCAACTAGAGAGAAAGTCAGATTTGCTTGCTCGCATTGAGGAATATAGGAACCTTAACAACCAGCAACGGGAGGCAATCGCAAAGGCTGACAGAGACATTGAGGAGCTAACACCGGAGCTCCTCAAATACCAAGCTCAATATGACGATATCAGCCAGCGGGTTGAGGCCAGAGAGAGGGAGATGCAGCAAGGAATATCTCAACTGTCGGAAAATATACGCCAATTGGATCTGGCGACGGAGGAGATTGATTCTTACAACGAACGAGGCGGACCGAGTCAGTTGGAGCGTAGTAGACGCGAGCTTCAAACGATTGAGACTGAAATCAGCCAGCTTGAAGCGGAACAGGCCAATATTACCAAAGAGATCAATAAGATCTCGGCACAGCTCAAAGACAGCGAGAACACGAAACGCCAATACTCCGACAACCTGACATACCGCCAGGCAACTCGAGCGCTGGCAGAGGTGTCCGCAGAAATTGAGAATCTGGCAGCTCAGAACGCAGAGGTGGACCGAAGCCGCTTCAAGGAGGAATCAGAGCGCCGAACCCGCGAGCACAACGCGCTTGCTGCCAAGCAAGCGAGCAAGATGGGAGAGATGAAGTCTAAGGATGATCAACTGATGCAGCTTCTGGCGGATTGGAACACGGACTACAAAGACGCCGCTTCCAAGTACAAGGAAGCGCACATCAAGGTGGAGACTACCAAGGCTGCTGTTGATGATTTAGCTCGGTACGGGGGTGCTTTGGACAAAGCCATCATGAAGTATCATTCGTTGAAGATGGAGGAGATCAATGCAATCATTGGAGAGCTCTGGCAAAAGACATACAGAGGCACCGACGTTGACACGATCCTTATCCGCTCAGACAACGAAAATGCAAAAGGAAACCGATCCTACAACTACCGCGTCTGCATGGTCAAATCGGGCGCAGAGATGGACATGCGAGGACGCTGCAGTGCAGGACAGAAAGTGCTCGCGAGTATAATCATTCGGTTGGCCCTGGCAGAGTGTTTCGGCGTCAACTGCGGCCTGATCGCACTCGATGAGCCGACGACCAACCTCGACCGGGACAATATTCGCTCTCTTGCTGAGTCCCTGCACGACATTATTCGGGCGCGTCAGCAGCAAGCAAACTTTCAGCTTATTGTGATTACTCACGATGAGGAGTTCCTGCGGCATATGCAATGCGGTGACTTCAGTGATTACTATTACCGGGTCTCCCGCAATGAGAAACAGAAGTCGATCATCGAGAGACAATCCATTGCAGAGGTAAGTTAAGATTATCTGTATTGCTAGCATAACCGCTTCCATATACTAATGATTTCTAGGTCATGTAATTTACTGTCAAAACCCGTACGATGCTTTGCTTCATGCTATAAAGCGACTCCAGCTTCATGATTGAACAAGGGAAGATGACCAGCGCATGGACCAGGCGACATGCATTGTTAATTGTCTGCTTTCCCTGTATATTATTAGCTGAGCCAAGTGATCTTGGGTTACATATCGCATTTGTACTGGCGTTGGGGAAGGGAAACAGTCCTAAACAATTGATCGATATTATTGATGTCATTATTTTCAACGTTCTCTTCCAACCTCGACCAAACATGCCGCTGAACTCGAAGCACTACCCCCTAATCCATTTCCAGATCAACATCATCTTCGTCTAGTAATGGTACAAAACGAAAGTCCACGAAAGTCACAGTGCTCCCAGTACTTGCTCCCGACGACCGCACGGCACCAGTAACGTTGTTGTCGAACTCAATCATGAACTGCAGACTGAGAACGCCTTGTCTATCTCCTCGGATACTCACTTTATTGGCTACTGCCATAGCGCGAGCTGCCTTCTGAATCATGGAGAAACGATAATTCTGGTTGATGCGAGTGCCCATGGAAGACGGCGGGCTGACGAGAAAAGTTTCGGTGACGGTAGGTGCGAGTTTGGTCCTCTTGGCCCGCGCTCGTGAGCCATCATCAGTGAGTACCTTATGGGTTTGAGAGGGGCCATTGTTGTGGTTCTGCTGTTCAATCGAGAATTCGACCGTCGATTCGCTGAGGGGACCACCAGAGCCTGACAAAGCGAAAAAGGGTTCTCGTGTCGCCGAGGCCGAGAGTTTGAGGACAGTGGGATCAGTTGCGCCGAGCTCCATGATCGCGTTGTGTAGCCATGCGGAACGCATGATTATTTTCATTACTATGCCGTCGCGCTGGAAAGGGATGTCGGTGTCGGTGTCTTCGGGTTCGTAGGTCGTCAGATCGCAGGTTGTTTTGACTCCTGTTTCGGAGAGGGTGATGCTCAGCGGAGCGCCTTCGTGCGAGTACTGAATTGTGCAGGAACGGTCGAGGAGGAGCGCAGGGGATGTGAATGCGCTTGATGCTGAAGGGTTCGGCGGTTGGACGCTGACTGCTCTGCTGAAACTTCCAGACGACGCGTCGTTAATGTCAAAGATTTTCAGCGTTTCCAAAAGGGCAGACAGTGATACCACGAAACATGGGTAGTATGCGGTCTCTGCGGTGTCGTCATGGTGGCCTGCGTCATTGGCCTCATTGCTTGGGGTTGTCGGGGGATTGAAGGTATAACTGGTGAAGAGCGCTTTGTCGAGAAAGGCAAGTCCTTGTATCACTCTGGTCTCCTCTGCTGAAAACCGGATTCCGTCTGGAGTTATTTGCACGGTGGCTTTTGGAACGAATCCAATGCATTGTAGCAGAGTATAGAGCTGGTGAGCGTTGCTGGAGACAGCTGAAAAGATGGGGCCTGTATTTGCCATGGCCCTAGGACTCTTGTCTGTACAGATAGCCAGGGAAACGCATAGAACATATGAGCTCGGAAAGATTGATTATGAAATAGGCTGGTGGGCTTGTAAATGCGTGGCTAGTAAAGCAGCTCTCGCCCTGTTACACGTCTTTTTGTCTTTCAACTTTCCGATTTATAGTACATAGAAAGGATCGGTATGCGAGTCACTCAAACGTAGACACCAACGGCGCAGATCATGTATACGGCACCGAATCTGTAGAAGTGTAATATGAGCGACGGGCGTGGCTCCAAATCAAAAACTGTCGTAGCTTACCCGAATGCCAATGACGCCGGAACCCCGAATGTTGCGATGCTCAAGAAGGAGCGATCTATTTAGCGAGCAATGGTGAGCTATAACCCGGTTTGACTTGGATGCGCAGAACGAAAACATACTCAGACCGAAAAGACCAGTAAGAACCAATGCTAGAGTGCCAATTAGTTCTGTCAATCTTGACGGAGGCCATAACACCTCTTACCACTCAGCAGCAGACTGAAGCCAACGAAGAACTGGTGATCTTTCGATATCAGGGGAGAGTAAGGGCTTGCGGAGGCTGCCTCCCAGACTTCGTTCAGAGACATGAGGATAAGCTGAGTAGACTTCAAAATCGAGCAAAATCAATTATCAGACAGCTTATACAGCAATTGATGTCTGTAATGGAAAAGAACAACTAGTCTACATTACTCCGCCATCGCAGAGCTTCTAGATAGACGCAACACGTCAGGCCTAAGTAGCTTATGGTTGATCTGGCCCAATCAATCTCGGATCAACATAGTCCCGATCCTAGGTCCTCCCTCGTCTCCCCCTGTGACGCGGAGACCGCAATTCGGCGCCGCTTGGGCACAGGCTGTTGAAGAAGACAGTTTATAACAGAAATCTCAAGCCCAATATGCCGGCACTTACATCAGAGAGTGAGTCCGCGTGCCGGGTGTGTTGGTTTCTGTGGTTTTCAGACTTGATTGACCATAGATACAGGCTCCAAGCGGAAAGCTTCGGAAGATGCGGCTTCCCCGGATTCCCAGAAACAGATTAAAAAGGCGCGCACTGACTCTCCTGAAAGAGAGCCAAAGGTTTGTCTTCACTTTGAACTCGTTCCATTGCCGTTCTGACAGTGTTTGTTTGTAGACCGAAGATGAACCTCTTGGAAAGCCACCACTGAGGATCGTTCCCTTCCCAGAAAAGGTAAGCTTCACCGGTGGATGTTGATTCGACGCGGAGGCTGATGTTGATCCCCCACAATAGCCCGCTGTCTTAGAAGAACGACGAGGTGAAATCGAGTTCCGAGTGGTCAATAATGATGGCTCACGGGATAGTTTTGTCGTTCTCACCGGGTTGAAGTGCATCTTTCAGAAGCAACTTCCAAAGATGCCTAAGGATTACATCGCGCGACTTGTCTACGATCGTTCGCATTTGTCTATCGCCATTGTGAAGCACCCACTAGAGGTTGTAGGGTATGTGTGGGAGAAATGGCTGGGTTAGTTTCTTGAAGAGCTCACCAATTGTTTTCTAGAGGAATCACCTACCGGCCGTTCAATAGCCGCAAATTCGCGGAAATCGTCTTCTGTGCCATATCTTCCGACCAGCAAGTCAAGGGTTACGGTGCGCATTTGATGTCTCATTTGAAGGTATGGCTAGGAATTAAAGCCGCAGCAGGAGTGGTAGCTAACTTTAAGAGCAGGACTATGTGAAAGCGACCTCGCCCATTATGCATTTCCTGACTTATGCGGACAACTATGCGATTGGTTATTTCAAGAAGCAGGGATTCACCAAGGAAATCACGCTCGACAAGTCTATATGGATGGGTTATATCAAGGATTACGAGGGAGGAACCATCATGCAATGTACCATGCTCCCCAAGATCCGATATTTGGAAGCAGGTCGCATGCTTCTGAAGCAGAAGGAAGCGGTGCAAGCGAAAATCAGGGCTTTCAGCCGTTCGCATATTATCCACCCTCCGCCCAGGGAATGGAAGAACGGAGCTTGCAAGATCGATCCTCTGAGTATCCCTGCCATTAAGGAATCCGGATGGTCACCGGATATGGACGAATTGGCGCGGCAACCGCGCCATGGGCCGAACTACAATCAGCTTTTGCACTTGCTCAACGACATGCAGAACCACAGTGCTGCGTGGCCGTTCACTCAGCCTGTCAACCGCGATGAAGTTCCTGATTATTACGAAGTCATCAAAGAGCCAATGGACTTATCGACGATGGAAGAGAAGCATGAGAAGGACATGTACCCGACCCCCCAAGATTTTATCAAAGATGCCATGTTGATCTTTGACAATTGCCGGAAATACAACAATGAGAATACACCATATGCGAAGAGCGCGAATAAATTGGAGAAGTTTATGTGGCAGCAGATTCGCAACATCCCGGAGTGGTCGGTAAGTATTTCTCTTGGATAGTTCCCTCAGAGGGAAGAGCATCTTGTACTGACTTTGTCATAGCATCTGGCCGATGGGCACTGACTTATTTAATGGTTGATCGATACTTTCTGATCTTGAAGCGATGGAGTTTTGGTTTGGTTGGCGTTTATTCTTCTATTCAACGAACAAATACCCAATGGATGCATGGGGGAGCATTTTGGCCATTCCTATCTAGCCTTCGATGACTGAACAAATGATATGGCAATATCACAAGAATCACTTCGTACATTCCTCACTCTCTGCCGCGGAAACCGCTGCTGTAAGCTTTAATTCCTAAGGAGCCCCGAGACGAAAAGAAAGGCTGGAGAGCAGTCAAAGCCGGCAAGGGAGCTTAGAATTTGGGCGAACTGCTGCATTGAGACGCAAAATGATCTATCACAACATGTGGGTTTGTCGCTGCCCTTTGCCTCTAGCCACCAGATGATTCTAACATCATAGTCCATCCCTCCCTTGCGTGTAATCTTGGAGAACGTGGTGAGCTGTTGATGATCATTAGCTGGTGGGTCCTTCATTTCGGAATAACTTTGCGGCGAGCCGTTTGTTGGCTTGCGGATCATGAAGATGGCAGGTCAACAAGAGGAAGACAATTACTATCTAGTATGAGAAAGTTGCTCTGCAGGTGGTCGGGGCAATCCACCGTCCTTCTTTTGCTGTTATAATTATTATTATAATATCGCAACGTGTGCCCTGTTCCTCCTTGTCCTTATTGCCCGTTGTCGTTCCCACTGGGCGGCTGGAGGGATTGTTACTTTTAGCCGTCTTTTCCCACTTCAGGCGCCCTCTCCAGGGGCTCCTGAGCCTGAAAGTCCTAGACTTACGAATCTCTATCGTTCATTGCTCTGATGTCTTAATTTGGACTAAATTACCTCCAGTCATTCGTTAATCTTCTAATTCTTTGCGATCCTTTAATCGTGAGCTGGCCATCTTCTTATTATTATCGAGACGTTGGTGGAACAGTAAACACGGGCCACTCCTATTCTTGGACCAAGACGATATTCTCCATCATTTCCAACTTTTTCGCTCTTGATCTCACGCCAATTTTCGCTCGTTTGGAACTCATATTGGACTTGCCTTGTTGGTTGCCTATCGCCCTCCCTTACAATGGCGTCGCCATCACTTTTGGACATGGAGCCTAGGAATCGGCTCCCAACACTGTTTGAGGTCCTAAGTCGTCGCACTTTGGCTCCTGTCGACCTATTCTCTTTCTACATATACATGCGAGACCAACAGCGCTCGGTCGATTACTTGGATTTCTGGTATGCGCAAGATCTCTGCTTGAATATTGCGGCGCATGGATCACGGGAAAAGTTCTGACCTCGAAGTGAAATAGGCTCGATGTGTCACAACATATGTCTCTATGTCGCCATTATGTCCGCGAACTGCGTCGGTCTGTCTTAGTTGCGACGCCTGATCTTGAAAAAGCAGACAGTAAAGGCTCATCCGCCGCTTTGGATAACTTGGAACATCTTGGCGATATCCCGCTAACAGAAGCCGGTCCCTCTGGCTTGCGCCGGGGCTTTCGTGATTACGACGACAAGGACGCCGATCAAAGGCTGTCGGCCTTCCTTCGCTCAGATGGTCACACATCCCAGCATTCACCGCAGAGTAGCCTCGGGTCACAGAACGCTGCTCGCCTTCCTTCCAATGAACAACAGCCTCGTCCAAGCTTCGGGACACAGAACGAATCGAATTCGCCTGGCCATACAGTCACGCGACACGATATTCGCGCATCTGCAGAGAAGATTCTCTACACGTATTTACTTCCCGGTGCGGAAAGAGAGATCGTTCTTCCGGAGGAAATGGTGTCAACGATAATCAATCTGATTGAGGATGACGGGAGAGACGATCCAGAAGTGTTCGACCCCGCCAAAGACTATGTTTTCCAAGCAATGGAACGCGACGCATACCCTGGGTTTTTGCAGGCAAAAGCCTTGGGTAATCTTGTGCCATTGACCGTTGTGACTCGCTTGGCTTTGGCTTTGATTAGCTTTGGCGGTGGTTTCTGGGGCGCCTTCTACGTTGTCCTACGAGACAAGCCGCGGCACATTCGTTGCTGGGTAAGTTCTTCTTTCATGTTTCCTTGCGCGCTTTTGCTAATGAGGGACCAGGTGATTTTGCCTTTCATTGTGGCTGCATATTTCATCGCTTCGTACCAGTACAAGATCGACCCGGTAATGGCGTATTTGGGGTACAGTGAATACACGTTCATGAACTGGGCTCAAATTCGCGAGCCTTATGTTCGTAAGCTCCTGAATAAACGAGCTACTGCAACTTTATTCATCGCCCTACTGGTCGCTGCCGCATTGAGCATCCTGTTCATTTTTGTTCCCGGTACTATGCTCTGATTTAGTCATTTTCAGGCTGTTAGGCAAACGTCCGCTCTACGAGGCCTCACTTACGGACGCCCCTCTGATCCATTGAAAAATTCTGGTGACTATGATCATGCCATGCGAGCCCAGCTGTCCTACGCGGGACCGGCACGTCAGTTCAGGCCTTCTTTTTCGGCCTGGCAAAGCAGCTGTTACATAGGCTAGCCACTCGGTTTGTTCTCGAAACCGACACTTCTGGATATCCTCGTCCTAGTTGCGCTCCGTTGAGCCCTTCCTCACGCTTGGGACGATTCGAGCAAAACGCGGTACACCCTTCTGGCTGACGCCGTGTCATTCGGCTCAAGGCCACCCCATACCGGTCCCTCCAGCCACAACAGACTTTCCTTGTCGCTTCGTCTTGTGAATGTTGCCTTCTTGATTGCTCCTTGACCTCTTCATCTTCTTACAATACCCATTTCTGTCTATCCTGCATGATGTTCAATTTCAATGATTGCCAGTGAAACGTTTGGTGTTCCGGCATTGGTCCTAATCTGCTATAATATGCAATCTTAATGGCAAATAAATCTCGATCAAATGCTGATATTGCATTTCGTAAGTAGCCTTGGCATGATGGCTCTATGCAGAAGAGTGAACCATCCGGAAGAAGATACATCATGAGCTCGTAATGACCATTACAGGTCCACTGTTAACCTTGCAATTGTTCATCTCTTTCAGTCAGTAACAATGCTACTATTAGGATTTCTTTCCCAGGATGCGTTTCGCATGTCTCGCGCCAGCTCCGCTCAACCCGAATCTAGAAGATCCTGCACTTTCATCAATGTCCATACGCGAACCAGCCGCGTGTAGATCGATACCGCCATCATTTCCATTATCCCAGTACCCATCATCCTCATCATCGTGGTCGTCAGCGCTGAACTCGCGCTTATTGCCCCCTCCTTGGCCAAACCGCTGCGCTCCGCCGAACTTCTTGGGCCCGGTCCCGCCTCCCGCCGCGTCCTTTGCGCTCCCATCGGATGCGGAGGCCAGTGCTTTTTCAAGCAGAGCAGCCCGGGCCTGTTCTTTCGCCCTACGCTTCGCGGCATTGCTCTTGATCTTGGCGATTTCGGCCTCAATGTCGCTGATGACGTCGCCGCAGCGGCCTTCCCACTGTGTCAGAAGCGAGATCATCGTCGGCAGCGATTGGGGTCTGATGTCGCGGAGGGGCGCGACAGAGGTCACGTTTACGAAGGGGGGATTGGAGGCGGGGGAGAGGCGGGCGGTGATGAGGGAGGAGTAGATGGCTTTTGTGACGAGAGATTCGAGCTCAGCGGGGACTGAGATAGAAAGGGCGTCCATGAGGGTCTTGTATGTGAGGGGTTTGAGTGTTGCGGACAGGGTGAGGAGCGAGAGGAGGCGGAGCTTGAGGGCTTGTTCGGCGTTGAGGTTGGGGAGGTTGGGTGTTGCTGATGGGGTTGTTAGGTCTTATCGGCCTAATGGTTCAGCTTGAAGGGCTGGCGTGCTTACTCTGGTAGTCCTGCCATGTTCCCCAGGCGAAGATTTCCAGGAGGGTCAGGTAGCCTTGGAACTCTTCTGGGGTGTTTGGGGAGCGGAGGGCTTGGATTGTAGGCGTTTCCAGCAGCTCGGCGAAGACATAGGTGTGCGGATTTGAGGTTGCATTTGTGATTAGGTTCGCAACGAATCGTGGGGAGGTAGCACTGTTTGAGTCGGCCAGGTGGATGAAGGGTTGCAGGGCCTCGATGGCCCGAGTATGTATTTGATCCATTTGGGGCTTGGTTGTCTGGTGCTTGATGGAGGTCAGCTGCTGCTGCTCAATCGGCGAGATAGTCGAGCGTAAACCTACATTCAAGGCAAAACTGAGATGCGAGAGACTAAGAGTCGTATGTGAGACTCACTGGAGCTGTCTCTGATAGAATAGTTGACATCGATAATAGTGGGGATGTTGATGGTGATGATGATGCCTATCCAGCTGTCATCCGAATTGGGGTTGTTTGTTTATGATGCAAACAAGTTCTGTCACCTAAGATTTCTGAGAGATTCAAGAATAATTCTGATAATAATCTCCAGATCGATATGAAGTATTCTGCACTACTCTAGGTTGGTTGATCGCTGTTGCTACATCAGATCCCACATTATCTAATGGAACTGCGAATTGAGACGTTTGACACTCCGTCAATCAAGCAGCTCAATTCCCTTCTCCTCAGCATTATGCAGCCTTTTGCTTATTATTGTTGACCCCTGGGAGAGAGGCGAAAGATTAAGACCATATTTCGCATGTAGCTTGTCCAGTATCTAGACGTTGTGATCAGGTCCAGTTAAGTCCTGCTTCATTTAAGGAGGCTATCTGAGGGGCTAGACTGTATCATGACTAGTAGAAGCCTTTACTTGAAACTGGACAGTATCCCAATGAGGATAGGGGACTCTGGGATTTGTTTCATGAAGGTCAACCGTAAACTGTACTGCAATTGTACATGGCACCTGCCATAATCATTCTTACTGGGGCTTTTGCAAACTTGTGACTATCCTCGGTAATGGAGGTTGGCGGTTGATCATGGTAGCAAGCCGTCAATAGTGTTTAAAATCGTGTAGTGCACGCAGAGCAGACTCGTCACACAGCAAACAGAATCTATAGGACCAGACATGAAAATCTCGGTTAACCTTTTCTGGGCTGGAGAGCCGAATTTTTGAGTCAGACCCAAGTGATGATCCAGGGAA